TTACTCAGAAGAAAAATTCATGGAAACCGACAAGATTGGAATTTCATGAAGATGTACAGCTAAGTTGCTGAGAATACAGGCACATCGGATTGTGGAATACTAAATGCGATTATAAAGATATTATCTCAGTTCATATGGTTGCATGTTATCCTAGAAGGTTTTTTTTGGAATGAGAGAATGTTCTGAGCATTTCAATAGATTTGACGTCCAACACACGAGATGACCAGAGTTGCGATAAATGAACCCTATCAAGATTTTGACAGTTGTATTTGCTAGTAATGAGTCATTCAAATTTGCACCGAAAATCCTTCATCCGGTTCTCGCTGTTTATTTCGATCGTTATTTTGGCAAATGGGGTTGGACACCAATACTTTTATTACGATATGTGCTTGATCCAAAAATATTGATATCGTTAACCGTAAGCAAATCAATAATATCGTATCGTCCACAGAAACAAATCTGTCTGTATGTCGTTAAGAGATTTGTTCTTAAGGAGATCTTTTAGCACAGTCCCGGTGCTATATAATTAGAAACTAAGCTTGTAAACGATCTTGGCAAAAATAATTGGTAAATTTACGCAGGGAGGATTATACGACCATAAAAGACATAAATAAATGATTTTAGAATTTGTAGAGACCAAATAATTTGATAGTTGCAGGTCGGAAGACAGTTCGTGATTCACTTCAACAGCAATTATTTCTGTCACACAAGAAATGTTTTTCAGATCTACCAGTGCCATATATTATCGACTAGCAGATACAAGCAACAAATATTGAAGTTGAGATTCCTTGAATTAATGAAAAACAAAACTTTGTATTGGATGATGTTGTTGTTAATGTGAGTGATGCTGAGAGCGCATGAACGATGGACCAATCTCCATGTACTTCAGGATATGCTATAATGAATGATTTTTCTCAAGGATTAGCTATTTTCGATACAAATATCTGAAATTTTGATGATCGGATCGAATGATTAAATTTAGTTTATTTAACGGTATCGAGAGTTAGAACAGTATCTCAGCTATGAAGTGTTATCATAGATTACTCAATGACTCAGGAAAGCATTGGTAGCAACTGCAATGATATAGTAAGAAAAACAATTAATTGATTATCATCGATCTGACACAAAATGTAAGCGTGACTTAGATCTTGATAGTGAATTTATCATGACGCTTGAACACCAACATAATAATCACTGTGCTTGCCGAAGCACAGGAATGTTGTGGAAGTATTCTTCTAATGACCAACGACAGTTAACCGTGGATAGAACATGTGATGCTAACCTGTCTTGAGTGTAATTGAAGTAGGGGTGCTGGTGTCCTGCTTTCACAGAAGTAAAGGTGGTGGCAATTGTAATTGATCAAGTACCAAATCCACGTTAAGGAGCAGATGAATCTAGTCTGTAGATTGCAGGTCGATCTGTGAATCTTACCACACTGGAAATTTTATGTGTGGTCACATGCCAATAGGATCAGTTGCCCTTTTTATCACCATGTTCATATAAATATCTAACAGTCACATTACCAAGTACTGGTTGTTTTGAGAAAGAGTCACGTCGTTGTATATTTTTTTTGTGTGATCGCATTGACGGGTTTCATAGAAATTTCACAAATAATTTCATTTTTTGACGCAGATATCATACTCTGTAGTGTTGCAACCTATTCATGGGATTTCGTCATTCTGAACTTTATTGAAGGATATTTATTGAGCATACTATTGTCAGGTACTTTTGAGAGAGTGATGCATGTAAGGTGAAGTTGTTTGCATTAAAACATGCACAGTAGAGAAAATGTTGGCATACCTCTTTGCTCCTTGCATGTAATGTGACTAATATTTCTTTGGATATTGTACTTTTGGAAATTGTAAATGATCTTACCATACTACTAGCTATATGACTGCTACCTTGTGCTCCATAAATCAATCCGAATTTGTCTAAATTACACTATTCTTGGCAGCTATTAAAATAGGGAAAATTAATTTTGCCAGACTAGTCAATACCAGCTTCTGAAAGTGCAATGAATGAATTACCAAATACATTATATGCAAGAAAATTATTTGCTCTTTTTTTAACGATTTATCTCTAAGTTCGGGAAGTGAAAATGAGCATGTGGAGTGCACCTTTTTGAAAGGTGCACATCTGGAGTAAGGCCAAGCTGTATACTCTCTAACCCATATTGCACCCATCAATCATACACCAAAATGAGGGGAATTAAAGGGTCTTTGAACAGTACCTAAGATATACAAAGTCTTTTTATAAATAGCCAGCATAACTAGTGAGGAAACCCGGGAAAATTCTTTTTCTTTAAAATTCTAACCCTTTTCTAAATACGAAACTGTAGACCGCCACCATAATCGATTAGCTAGTGTTCGATTAAAACAACCAACGATTGCCTGGTTGCGATGAATTATGGTCTGATTTTGACGTTATGATGTTTCATCAGAGATCTTACTGCATTAAGAAATTCTTTGCCGGGATCAGCTTGTAGCAACTGTGGCCATTACATAGGTCCTCGTTGATAAATTCGTTGGAACGCAGATGCAAACTTCAGTTGCTGTCTTTGCAAATAGTGGTTCTGTTCTTTATATTTACATCTGCTACATCAACAAGTTTGCTAATAATATAATAAACGTAGTTCATTAATATAATAATAATTGACCGACTAATTACCGGTCCCTAGCACGATTTTACCGTTCTTTGCGGATCTTACCAGCCAGTTAACAAGCGATTCTAAGGAAGATTTATTATTTAACAGATTTTAAAGTATGAATCAATTTCAAGTCTGCGATATGTCGTTGTTTTGGCTCTGGATTTTTATATGTGATAACATGAACGTCGCATGCTTTCTCAATCTTATTTGTTGGATACTCTCCAAGTCTTGGTTGATCTTTCTCGTCAAGTCGGATATCAAATTGGGTTCCAAGACTACAATAATTTTATCCAATAAGATGCTTCTCGCTAGGATACTTAGCCCATGGATCCCTTGGTGATTTTTCAAGTGAAACAGCGATATCACCACCCTTGAGATTCGTCAAATGGGAGATACATTTGTATTTTTTGTACCACATTTCAGACATATGCATGTAAGTACACGCTTTTTATTCTTCATCGTTATTGTTTTTATTCCACTGGTGTGTGTGTATGTGTGTGTGTGTCTGTGTGTGTGTGCTCAGCATCGAACACAATATAAATTCGTATAATCGTTATATTTCTACAACATGGATATCATTTATTTTTCAGCTACACAAAAGTAAGAGCCAGTCAAGCAGCATCCAGCGCTATCATATTCTATCAGAGCAATTATCATAGGTCCATGTGGGTTTGGTAAGATTTTGATTAAGTTTATATTAATTATAAACGAATCATGCTTAATCTCTGTTAGCTGTTCAAAGTTCTAGCACTTGAACTAAATCATAAATATTTACTTGCACCACAAAGTTGTGATCGTTATTTATTGTTCTAACACTTGAACTAAATCATAAATATTTACTTGCGCCACAAAGATGTGATCGTTATTTATTGACTGTAAATTACAATCTTGAATGCGACTTGGCCCCTGTAGCGTGTTCGCTAATTTTAGGTATGCACGTACGGAACATTATTACCATAATGGTATCAGTGTAATAGGGACGCAGATAAAACTCCCACAGATAATGAACGACAATGCTTGTAGTCTTAACGCATTGCATATAAAAGAGTTATCTTTATTGATTTTGCGACGCTGGTTTCATGATAAAAATAATTTTTTTTTAATCTGTTAAATAATATAATTTTTAATGCATTATTTTTAATAATTGCTTTCATGATACTTTGTGTCATTTTGCAGCAATTAGTGCCTTTTAGTATTTTTTTGTTTTCTAAAAAATATAGTATTATTATTTAGTTCTTAGCGGTAGTTACCAGGACCGCAGTTTTACTATCAGCTTTTAAATGTGCCATTCATTGTACGTCATTTAAAGTTTTCAACCGACGTATGCCCTGAGTCAGCAACATGGTATGTATGTAGGCCTACGATTTTGCCTGGCTGGACTTAATTCCAGGACAATGTGCAGTTCGACAAAATTTTTAATAACTCCGTAAAACGAGGAAAAATTATGATCATTTTGGCAACAACTCATTTTCACCCGTGCGGTTTCTTTTCCTAGGAAACGCCAAACGGATCTTTGTTTATGTGTTAAGAGTGGAGGGTTTCAGGTATTTAAACTTGGGTTAGATTTTGTTAGTTTTATTAATACCTTTTTACTGTTAACCTCGTCAGTGTATATTAACAATCCATTTAAAACAAACCTAGTTAAAATCAGTGAAGGTATTAGTGGGAGGGGGACTACTAAATAGCTGGTTTTTCATGACGTAATTGGCTGTTTTGTGGCCTCCAGACTATTTACAGAGATCCACTGGGCTCACCACAGTTTGAAATAGAATTCAACCAAATTACCATACATAGATAATTTTCGTAAATATATTGAATTATATTATGTACTAATGGATAAAGACCGAGTTTCGGTTCGGCCAGATAAGAGATCACATTACTAGTACCAGGATGTAAAAACTGCCCAGTTATGGGTTTTCTTAAGTGTCTGTGATGAACTGATCATATTACAGGCCTTGGAAGAAGGTACAGTATCATGACACCAAATTAATGAGTTAATAATGTAAGAAACTGAACATTATTACATATTTTGTTTATGGTAAACAGGAATGTGTTTTTTTTTCTCAATCTGTTAGTGAATCAGAAAATTTAATTTGGTTTTAAATAGTTTAGCAGTAATATGTCATGTCCATTTTGATTCAGTGTAATCCACCCATCTATTGATAAATCTGAATAATGCGTTACATGACAATGCCTTTAAGGGTATGATTTAATTAAAACTACTTGATGCATAAAAATGATGTAGAAAACAGTATGGACAAAAGTTTACAAAATATATCAAAGCATTAGTTCATTTGGATATGGTACCCTAGTTCTGAATTGTATATATAATTTTGGTAAACTGTCTAATAGCGATCACTCTGGTGGCCTAGTGGTTTGAGTATCCACCTCGGATGTGGGAGGTCACGAGTTTGATCCCTGGCCAAGTCATACCAAATGCTCATAAAAAGGGTTCATACAGCTCCCTCACTAGGCGCTCAGCATTAAGAGGCTAGTGCTAGAACTGGTCAGCCTTGTGTCAGGTTAATGTGACTGGGTGGGACAACATGTTACATGTCGGTTGCATGATGCCCCAGTGCTAGACATCACTATAAACTGTCAACACTGCAGATATAGTAGCAATAAGACTGAAAAATTGTTAAAGCTATGTTAAAATTCCAAATCACACACACAAACACACTGAGAACTTATATAGCTAGTCTGTTATGTGCCTGCAGTAAGACATAGTGTATTATATTATTCTGTCCATCTGTAAATTACTAAGTTTGTTTCTACAAAATAACTTAAGTTAACAAGCATCTGAAGTAAACAAGCTTTGAAGATGGTACTTGAGATAAGAAAGATTTTCATAAATTTTGATGTTAATGCATAAAGTTCAAGGTCATTGACTGCAGGAAGAAAAAAAGTTTCTGAACAATAAATCAAGTTCTCCACCATCTGCAGTTAGACAACTTTGTGGATGGTTTACACATTGTGTAAGGAGCATCCTGATTGATTTGGGAGTCAAAAGTTCAAATATCAAGTTTCTGCAGAATTACTCCAGTTCTCCACCATCTACAGTTACTAGACTTTGTGGATGGCTTGAGGAAGAACATGTTGATTTCTGGATCAAGGTCACTGTGACTGAGAGAAGAGAAATGGTTTCCACACAGTAACATTAGTTGTACAGACCTCAAACAAACATTCTAGATGGCTTGCACTTAAGGTAAGGAAGAATACTATTGGTTTGAAATCATTTGTCAAGGTTACTGTGTCTAAAAGAGAAGCATGGTTTCCATATGATACCATTAGTTCTGCATCACATACCTTGACCAAACTTCATAGCCTGTAAGTTTTGTCAAAGGTAAGGGTATCTGACTGAAAGAAGAAATATGATTTATGCAGAAGAATTCCAGTTATCTACATAAAGAACTATAAAGCAGATGCTGTATAATGTGCTATTCACTACTCTTATTTTGCTTTAAATTCTTTCCATTGTTTATTATCTTGATTTGGGGGGGGGACTGTCATAGCATCATTTTGACATTTCTTGTTTGCTGGAGTGTCATGTTACAAGAATGTCATAAGTGGATTATGTAGCTTGCTGTCCTAAGATTTTGTTATTGTCTATTGCAGGATTTAATTTCATGCTTAAAAGTCATTGAAATAAGTAAAAAATCATATACCAGATTTTAATTAACTTTTTTTAAAATTCTCATATATTTTGTAAATGGTCTCTTTTTGGCAAATGGGTAAAACAAAAACTTTCTGAATTTTAGTTTTGAAAGACACAGCTTATGGAGTCAAGGGATGTTCAGAATAATGCTCTTGCATAGATCCCTGAAAATTTCTGTCCTATGCATCGCCCTTCTGGTCTCCTGAATTCAGTATAAATGAATTTTTTTAATTTTATATAATAACCATAGGTAGTAAATTTAAATTTTACAAGAAGAATTGCATGATACATTTGTGTGTGTTGCTCATTGGTAACTGTTTATTAAACATTTCTAATAGAAGACAATCATAACTGTTTATTTTATGAAAGGGTGATCTCTCTTGCCAATCACTTCAAAACTACTCTCTTGTAAATGAGATTCTCCAGACTTATGGCAACACACACTTCAAAATTAGCATACCCCAGATGTATGAATTCATTAGTGTGTGTGTATGTGTGTGTGTGTGTGTGTGTGTGTGTGTGTGTGTGTGTGTGTGTGTGTGTGTGTGTGTGTGAACATTATCTTCACCAGCAAACAACTCCAAGAGAAAAGCAGGGAGCAAGGTCAACGACTCTACATGATGTTCATCAATCTCATAAAGGCCTTCGACTTGGTCAGCGGGAAGGGCCTATTTGAATTTCTTGGGAAGATCATCTGACCCCCAACTCCGCAGCATGATAATCTCCTTTCCCATAAACAGCAGCATGAAGCAAAGCTGCGTGTTGGCATCAACCTTTTTTTGCATCTTCTTTTCCCTGCTCCTGTCCCACGTCTTCAACACATCCACTGATAGCATTTATCTCCACACATGGTAAGCTGTTCAACCTGGCACGACTGCACTCAAAGACCAAAGTGAGCCAAGCACTTATCAGGGAGATGCTCTTTGCTGACTATGTGGCTCTTATGACCCATACTGAGGATGTGCTTCAGAGACTGGATGCCTGCAAACAGTTTGGGCTCACCATCAGCCTAAAAAAGACAAATGTCTGTGTTCAAGATGACACCACTGCCCTTTCCATCAAAATCGATGGCACCACCCTGGAAACAGTCAACAACTTTATTTCCTTGGGTTCAACCATTAGCAACACTCTTTTGCTTGATATGGAGCTAGAGAGTGGGTTTGGAAAGGCAAATACCATCATGGCCCAACTAACAAAGAGGGTGTAGGAAAACAGCACATTGACAGTGCACACCAAGACTCAAGACTACCAAGCCTGTGTTCTGATTACCCTCTTATATGGAAATAAAACCTGGAGTATCTACATAAGGGCAAGAGCGTTGACTAAGCTCCTTACACCTACGATGCCTACAACACATTCTGAAAATCGGCAGGCAAGACCACATCCCACATTTAATCCTTCAACGTACAAGTAATACCAAGCATATACTCCCTGCTGAGCAAATGCAGCCTTCAATGGCTTGGACACGTCCGTCACATGGAGGATCGGTGGCTGGCAAAGGAAATCCTATATGGCCAGTTGGCAACTGGCACCAGAAGAGTCGGTAGTCCATCACTCTGCTTCAGGGATCTCAGCAAGAGGGACATGAAGGCATACAGTAATTCAACCTACAGCTGGGAAGTACAGGTCAAGGATAGAGGAACCTGGAGACTGACAGTCAGCAAGAGTATAGTGGTCATTGATGGGAGGAGAGTCCAGCAAGCCACACAGAAACGCTAGAGAAAGAAGCATGCAGCAGCCAACCAAGCAACTCAGACTTCCCTGTACATCTGCTCCAACTGCAATAGAGATTGTCACTTGCGCATTGGCCTGCACAGTGACAACAGACGATGCCAAAACCCCAGAGACAGACAGCACTCCAAGGATGCTACTCAGATGGTCTCCCAAGCCTGAGCTGCCAGGGATGATATATTATATGATATACCATTGGAAAAAATCCAGGAAAAAAGATAACCATATACAAGAGGCATAAATATATGTTAATGAAAATAAAAAGCATCAGTATATGTATAGAAAATGTTACAGACCACTTTCAGTTTTGTGTTCATGTGTATGTATACAGTGTAATGCAGTGGTCCCCAACCCTCATGTACCAGTCTGTGGATCATATGGTACTGGGCCACACAAGGAACATTAAATTATTTCCATTTTATTAACTGTGGTGTATTTATCTTGGGTTATGCGACTTTCCATTGACAAGAGTTTAACCAGAAGCTCAGATGTCACCTAAAGCCGCATCAATACAGTGCATGCGCAAAATATTGATATCGGGGCAGTTTTAGGTCATGTCTGGAGCTGAGTGGCTGCAAGTGGAATTGGTGTTGTAGCTTTGGTGGAGAGGTGTATATCACTCTTCTCTCTATTCACAGGTACTTGTTTAACAGTGCTTGCTGTATGTGTATATTGTTTGCTCAAATTTAACCCACAAATTAGCAAAAGAGAGTACAAAACAAACATCGTTAGAAAGTGTTTTTGGAAAAAAGAAAAGGCCCAGTGAAGAGACAAAAGAAGAGCGTTCAACATCAAAGAAACAAAATTTTTAACAGACAATACCATGAGTCCTACTTGAAATATGGATTTATCGGGACAGGTCATTCCCACACATAAACCCCATTCTGTGTAATTTGCAGCAACCAGCTCTCTATTGAAGCAATGAAACCTTCAAGACAGCTTCACCACTTTAACCCTAAGCACCCTGGATTAAAAGACAAGCAACTGGAGGTTTTTAAAAGAAAACAAAAACAGGAACGTGAAGGACAGAAGAAACTTATGAGGTCCACCACATCGATGAAGGAGAATGCACTGAGAGCATCATATTTGGTGGCTAACTGTATTGCTAAGGCTAAAAAGCCATTCACTATAGGTGATGAATTGATCTTGCCCTTCACTAAAGACATTTGCTGTGAACTTCTAGGAGAGGCTGCTGTGGAAAAGATAGCACAAGTGCCTTTGTCAGCTAGCACTTATAATGACTACGCACATTGAGGAAATAGCCAAAGACAATTGTTGGAGAGGATTTATACATCATCGTGGTACACACTCCAGCTTGACAAATCTACAGATATTGACAACAAGGCAATACTAATTGTTTATGTGCAATATCTATATTAGGAGGATGTGCACGAGGATTCGTTATGTGCACTATCTTTGCCAACAAACACAACAGGATCGGAATTGTTCAAGTCACTGGATGGTTATATATTAGAACAACTAAAATGGTCCTTTTGTGTCGGCATATGCATAGCCGGAGCTGCTGCCATGACCAGACAACCTTCTTGTTTAACTGCTCGAATTAAGGAAGTTGCACCTGAGAGTGAATCTACGCACTGTATCATTCACAGGGAAATGCTGGCATACCAAAAAATGTCACCAGAATTTAAAAGCTTATTGAAATTATTAACAGCAAAGCAAATGCCCTTAACTCATGTATACTTCAGCAGCTTTGTGAGGAGATGGACGCAGAGCACAGATGCCTTCTCTTATACACAGGAATAAGATGGTTATCCAGAGGAAAATCGCTAACCAGAGTATTTGAATTATGAGAGCCATTGCAAAGATTTCTCTCAGAAAAGAAGTTCTGCTGGCAGCACATTTCAGTGACAATGGGTCGCAAAACTGGCTTACTTGTGTGACATATTCAGCCTGCTCAACGAACTCAATCTGTCCCTTCAGGAGAAAACAAGTTTTTCCAGTTGGCTGACAAAGTAGCTGCATTTAAAGCCAAACTGGATTGTGGGGATGGTGCTTGAAAAGAGGCATTTGGGCATGTTTCAGA